AATATACTAGGTACTCACTCATGTTTTCAATCTAAAGACCCCAGCCATTTATTCTTTGACAAATTCTATTACACTATTGATTGGACAATTTTCCTCCTTATGTGTTCTCCATTATTTCTTTCTGGGATTTCTACTGTTTAGATACTGAATTATAACATCTTAAGAAATCCCATGATCTGATGGCTTTGAATTTTTTGACTCCTCAATATCTTACGCTACATTTTCTCTATCCAGTCATCCATGGAAGGTAACTCAGATAGATTCTATATCTTAACTATTGTGAATAATGAATACTACAATGAATATGGGAATGTAGATGTCTCTTTGGGATCTTGATTTTATTTTCTTTGGAGATATATATATACCCACAGGTTGGATTGATGAATCATTTCCACTGTTATTTTTAAATTCTTAGAAACCTCCATACTGTTTTCTATAATGGCTATACCAATTTACATTCCCTCCAAGAGCATCCAAGGGTTCCCTTTTCTCTGCACCCTCACCAACGCTTGTTACCTCTTGTCTTTTTGATAATAGCCATCTTAACAGGGTATTAGCCATTCTAACAGCCACCTACATTTAAGCGAGGGGATATCTCATTGTGGTTTTAATTTGTATTTCCCTAATGATTAGTGATGTTGAACATTTTTCACATATCTGTTGGTCATTTGTATATCTTCTTTGAAAAAATGTTTATTGAGGTCTTTTGTCCCATTTTTATATTGGGTTATCTGTTTTTTTTCCTATTGAGTTGTATGAGCTCCTTATACATTTTGGAAATTAATCCCCTATCACATGTATGGTGTGCAAATATTTAATATTTTCTCCCACTCTGTAGGTTGCCTTTTCATTTTGTTGATTGTTTCCTTTGCTGTGTAGAGCTTTTTAGTTTGATGTAGTCCCATTTGTTTACTTTTGCTTTTGTTGCCTGTGCTTTTGGTGTCTTATCCAAAAAGTCATTGCCAAGATCAGTGTAAAGGAGGCTTCTCCTATGTTTTCTTCTAGGAGTGTTATGGTTTCAAGCCTTACATTTAAGTCTTTAATCCATTTTAAATTAATTTTTGTATATATTTAATACTATAAGACAAGAGTCCAGTTTCATTTATTTGCATATGGATATCCAGTTTTCCCAACACCATTTACTAAAGAGATTACCCTTTGTCCATTGTATATTTTTGGCTCTCTTATGAAAGATTAGTGGACTTACATGAGTGCATTTATTTCTGGGCTCTCTATTCCATTCCATTGGTCCATGTGTTTGTTTTTATGCCAGTCCATAGCATTTTAATTACTGTAGCTTTGTATTATAGTTTGAAATCAGGAAGTGTGATGCCTTTGGCTTTGCTCTTCTTTCTCAAGATTGCTTTGGCTAATTGAAAAAAAGAGTTCTTGAAAAAAGAATGATAAATTCTTAATGGAATCCCTTTAATTATCAATTTTAAAGTTATATTAGACAGCTGTGCATTGACCTGTAGTGGTTCTCATTTTATAACGTGAATTTAGTCATTCTTTAGTAAGACCTGATTTCAATTGCCCTTCTGGAATTTTTATAGGTAGATTCCACACTGAGTAGAACTTAACAGTTACAGTAGTATAAAGAAGTGTACCTGGTAAAGAGCATCCCTAACAAAATGCTATCTAGAAATGGTAATTATATAAACATAGTTGGCTGTAAAAGACTACCATTTAGGCCAAAATCCTACTGTGTTTTAAATTACAGTCATCTGATCTCAATGCATGAACTCTTGATCTTATTTTCTAATCTGATTTGTTTTCTTTAGTCTCTCTAAAAGGGAGAACTGTACATAATGGTATAAGCCTCAGTGGTCTGTAATTGTTTCTCGTTTTTCCCCCATGGTACTTAGGCACATGTAGCTACCAGCCTATGGGATGCATACTCAGGCCTCTTAAGTCATCAATCTATGATCTTGTCCATGAACTCAAGGTATGGTAAGCTGTAAAGCTCTCTCATTTTACTGATTGAATGTCTTTAAAATGTTATATATTTTAAATAACTATAATTGTAAAAAATTTTTAAATTACCCCAAATTCCACCATTCCTTTCTCGTACTCCTTCCAATCTTTCTTTATTGTATATACAGGCAGATAATCTTTTTAGTTGTTGATGGGCAAGTTTCATTTTCCATCAATTTGAAGATGCATCACAATGCCAGAAATATTAAAAAGTGAAAAACTTATTATCAATGATTAGAGAAAATTGGCAGTAATATAGTTCAACTGCTTAAAGTTTAGCATGGCTTTGTGGACATGGCTGGGAATGTAACCACTCTTTGCATTATTATAGAGAACTATATTCTGATTTCTAAAAAACTGTTTATAAATGATATTTATAAAGAAATTAATTCCTTTATATTTAAAGAATCATTTTCATTTTAAGGGAATATTTAAGACCTGTGTGTCATATAAAGCCCAAGCTGAACCTTATTTTCTCTTATTGCTAAGGAAAAGCCACTAAAGTGAGATTACATTTGTTCTCTCATCAATTTAGTAATATATTCTTTTCTTCCAAGCTTTGTGGACCCCTTATTGCAATTTGAAACTCAATTGAAGATAATAAAGTCATCTTTTAATATGTTAGTTGCCATACCAAGTTTTGACAAAGTAAAAAAAATGGGGACTAGTGCTGATGACGTTGAAGACCTGGTGGTAAGATTTTTCTTCTTTTAAAAATAAATACATGTTATTATGCACCACAGCAATCCTGCAGAATATGTCTCAGTAGGTCATGATCTTCGTAGTCTTCCTCTCCACTGTGTTTAGATAAAATAGGTAAATAGTATCTTCCAACACTAATTTTTACCCACAGACTCCTTGTGAATTCTACAACCCATTGGATTTTAATGGATTATTTAGGATTTATTGGAACAAATGAATGAAGATATTTTTGAATAATTGGTTTAGCAAAGACAGGGAGTTTACTGGCAAGTACCTCCTAGAAGGGAATAGGAAGCAGAGAAAGGTGGAAGTAGGAAGATTCCTATAGTAAGATTAGCAAATGTCGGTGGTTTCTATTTCTTCAGCATTGCTACATAGTGAATTTGCTCTATGAGACAGAGAAGCAATTCATAGCATATAGTATTGGGTGGGGTCCCATCGGTGTAGACACTTCTCCTTTTTCTTACCTTCAGTTTATGGGAAGAATTTAGAACACACAGATGCAAAGCTGTAGACATTAGGTAAAATTTTACCTACGGTTGGTTGACTGGTTGTGCAACATTTTTGTATTTCAGAATTTATACCAGAATATTTTAAACATATATGAAGAAACTCTTCTGATCTTAGTGTCTAAAGACCTCTACAAACTACAGATATTAAAGGTAAAATAAGGGAAAATAAATAGTTTTGTTTTCTTATCGTAAATCTGGAGAGCTCACTATGTTTCACTTATTTTTCATTTGCCATATTTGAATCTCCTTCAAGTATTTGATGGGTGAAACTTTTTTTAACCCCAAAGGAGTGACATTATTTTCAAAATGAAAGCACTTCTCTTTATGTGAATTACAGAGGCATATTTTTAAGAATTCAATTTTGGGGAGATGGCATCAGCAGCCATCTTGAGAAGCCAAGTCTTATGTGGCAATATATGGGTGAACACAATATGGAAGAACAGAGAATATTATTAACCTAATCTACCTTCAAGTTTATATAACAATGAACTATGCTGTGACAGTGTCTGTGTGCATGCTTCTTCTCCATCAACTCTGATGCTGGGGAATCTTGTGTGCATCTTGTATTCATGGATATTACTGTATCTAAGGATGGCCTAACAACTTTCCAAACCCCCCCTTTTTATAACCAAGACCTCACTGTGTTTTTAACATCCCAACCAGAGATAGAAGGCTACTCTGGAAGTCTTATAGTCTTCAATTTGGCATTCCAACATGCTGACATCAGAGCCAACTATCTAGAAGTACTGGGAAAACAGATTGACTTAGCCTATCAAGAGCATCCATGAGTTGTGCAAATCATAAATACAACCAAGAAAAGAGGGCGGGGCAAGCTGGCTGAGCAGAGACATTATTTGCCAGATCGACTCAGAAAGAAGGAAAAGTTTTAAATGGGAAAAAAAAAAATAGCTCAGGTGTAATTCTGAGGGAAAAGTGCCAGAACCTATCAGAGATTCCATGGGAAGAAGTTGCAGAGCAGAACAAGAAGGAACAAGATTTTGGCAGAGGTCAACCCCTGAAAAACTTGGAGTCCTGTTGAAAGGGTAGGTGGGGGTTTTGTTTCTCCCTCCCTCACATCTCCAGTGGTCATCAGGCTCCCAAACTGTTGGAGAGCTTCTCTACCCTCATAAGCCCCAAAGCTGCTGATGTCAGTGAACTGGAAGGTTCTTGAAAACAAAGCACTGGGCTGCCAGCCCCCTCAGGGTTGCTCCACTTAACTACAGACCCAAGCCGAGACAGTGGGCACCGTATTGCTTCTCTACCCATTGTGTGCCTTTGTACTTCCCAGGGAGCTTCAGCCCCTCAGTTTTCATGTCACTGGTCCCCACACAAGCATATCCCAACTCCTGCACAGATTAATGATGGCCACAGGGACTGATGGGTCCCAGGAGAGCAGTGTGATCCCAGAGCTTGGACATTCCATTGCCTTTCAGGGAGAGGGACAAAGAGGACCAGAGTGCCAACTCTCCTCCATTCAGATCCTTTTTCTCCCCCATCCCTTCCCCTGCCCTCTGCTGCTGAGTGTCACAGGTGCCCCAAGGGCTCTCATAAGTGGCTGCTTTTATTCTGTTGGTATTCCCACCACACTGAGCCATCCAAACAGAGTGGGGCTCACACCTCTAGTCTTAAAGACCTGAAGTGGACTAAGGGTGCTCAGACCCTGAGCTCCCTGCCTACCAGCCTTCCCTGGTGCTACTCATGTGGCTATTTCAGCAAAGAAGGGCATACTCTGACCAGAGGGACATTAAGGCTACTTGAGCACTCCACATGCAACTAGGGACCAGCACACTTCTCTCCGACATGGTCAGGGATTGAACTTGGGGGACCAGGGAACAGGCCTGCAGGCCAGATCCCATACCCCCAGGACTTGATTGTGTTGCTCAGGAACACAGAGGAGAGATTTGTGAACTAATCTTGGGAGGCAAGGGAGCCCATGTGGGCAGAACTGAAAGGGTAGTGTAATGTGAGTCTGAGCCACAGCACACTCGTGGAGCATCCCTCTGCCTATAGGAATGCTGTGCTCTTGGCCCAGGGAGGAATCCTGGGCAGGGAAGCTCCCAGCCCACAGTGCCATTGCTGGTAAGCTCAGCTAGTTTGGGCTCCTCCTTGTGGCCAGATGCCAGAAGGAGACCTCGGTACAAGGGAGGATAGAGAAAGGCTAAAGGCACTCCAGAAAGCCAGTCTATGAATCCCAGAGGGCCCCTCCCCCATGAGAAGACTTTCTGGAATGGTGGGGCCACTCCGGCCCCTCTCTTATGGCTTTCCTCAGTGGCCAGAAAGCTAACCCTCAACTCCTGCTGAGACAGCACTTGTGCCCATATTTGTGGAGGCCGAACATCAGCTTGCCTGACCCAGCCTTGCCCTGCCTCACTTTACCCACCTTTGCTGTGGTGGAGAATAAGGAGTCCCCTGGGAACTCCTGGGCCCCACCCACCATGTGGGACATCTGAGTGCTTCTCCTGATCATCTAGAGCCAGTCACAGGTTCCAAAAAACAACACTGTAGCTGGCTTGTTCTGGAAAGCACCACCTGCTGTTAGGGAGGACAATTTATACAGCCCTTGACAGCATTTACTGACTCAGTCATACGGGGTGTGGCTGACTCTTACCCACAAGTACCACCTACTGTCTCAGAGATTAAACTGAGCATCTCAATGTAATTCACCCTGTTGAGAAGACCATATGGCTGGGGAAAGAAAATATTTCAAAGACCTCCATCTTCCCTTGTCAACAAGAGATAATCTGCCCATGCACATAGTACACCAGCACTACAGCCTACAAATAACTACCAAATGAGAAAACCACCACACTAAGGATATCTATAACTAAGGTTTCCATCCAGAACTTAGACATTCATCAAAGTACCCACAAGCAAAGCCAAAGGTCTTTCCCTAACATATGCTACAAACACATCCCTAAGAATGGTGGGGGGAAGCCTAATCTAAACAAATAAAATCCAAAAATAAGAAGCAACAGCTGCTTTAGATGAGAGGAATCAGTGCAAGAACTCCAAAAGTATGTAAAATCAGAGTGAAAGGACACCTGCAAATGAGCACACCAGCTCTCTAGCAATGGATCCCAACGGAAATGAAAATACTAAAATGACAAATAAAGAATTCCAAATATGGATTGTAAGGAGGCTTAATGAAATCCAGGAGAAAATGGAAAACCAGGTCAAAGAAACCAGAAAAACAGTTGAAGAAATGAATGAAAAGTTTACTAAAGAGATAGATATATTCTTTAAAAGCCAAATAGACCTTCTGGAAATAAAAAATTCACTTAGGGTAATACAAAAAAACAGTAGAAAGTTTTAAGAATAGACTACACCAAGCAGAAGAAAGAATTGCAGAGCTTGAAGATAACTCTTTCAAATTAACTCAATCAAAAATAAAGAACAGAGAGAGAATCAAGAGGAATGAACAAAGTCTATGAGAAATATGGGATTATGTAAAATGGCCAAATATAAGAATCACAGGCATCCCTGTAGTGAAGAATAAAAAGCACAAGGCCTGGAAAACCTATTTGAAGGAATAATTGAGAAAAACTTCCCTTGTCTGACTTAGACATCCAGATACAAGAAGCTCAACAAACATCTGAGAAATTCATTGCGAAAAGGGAATTACCAAGCCATATAGTCATCAGACTGGCCAAAGTCAACATGAAGGAGAAACTCCTATGAGCTATGAGGCAAAAATGTCAAGGAACTTACAAAGGAAAACCCGTCAGACTAACAACAGCCTTCAGAAGAGAAACTTTACAAGCCAGAAAGGAATAGGGTCTTATCTTTAGTCTCCTTAAATAGAATAACTGCCAGCCAAGAATTTTGTAACCTGATTAACTAAGTTTCATAAGAAGGAAAAATAAAGTCTTTCCCAGACAAGCAAACACTAAGGGAATTTGTCACTACTAGACCCACCCTACAGGAAATGCTCAAAAGGGTATTATAAATGCAACAGCACAATAGATACCAACCAGTGCAAAAACACCCAAAAGTAATAGCTCACACCTCTTTAAAACAATAGCACAAGAGGAAAAAAATAAGATATCATCCAACATGTTGAGCAGAAGAGCATCAACATATGAATACTAACACTCAACATTAATGTCTGAATGCCCCACTTAAAAAACATACACTGGCTGAATGGATGAAAAAACACAACTCAAATATTTTTTGTCTCTAAGAAACACATCTAAACCACAAGGACTCACACAGACTCAAGGTAATGGGATGGAAAAAAATATTCCAAGCAAATGGAAACCAAAAGCGAGCAGGTGTAGCCATTCTTATATCACATAAAATAGACTTTAAATTGATAATGGTTAAAAAAAAAGACCAAGATGGTCATTATATAATGGTAAAGAGAGCAATTCAACAAGAAGACATAATAATATTAAATATATATGCGCCTATCACAGGAGCTTCCAGTTTCATAAAGCAAATTTTTCCATATCTAAGCAAAGAAATAAACAATAACATCTTAATAATCAGGGACTTCAACACCCCACTGACAGAAGTGGATAGACCATCAAAGCAGAAAATGAATAAAGAAACATTAGACTTAAACAAGACTCTAGAACAAATGGGCATAACAGACATTTACAGAACATTCTACCCAAAAACTACTGAATATATATTTTTCTCATCAGCACATGGAATATTTTCCAAGATTGATCACATCTTAGGCCACAAAACAAGTCTCAGAAAATTCAAAAACACTGAACTCATACCATGTATATTCTCAGACCACAGTGGAATAAAACTAGAAATCAATTTCAAGGGAAACATTCAAATCTACACAAAGTCATGAAAATTAAACAACCTTCTGCTGAATGATCCTTGGGCCAATGATGAAATTAAGATGGAAATCAAAAGATTCTTTGAACTGAATGACAAAGGAGACACAAGCTTTCAAAACCTATGGGATAAAATAAAGGCATCCCTAAGGGAAAAGTTTGTAGCCTTTAATGCCTACATCAAAAAGACAGAAAGATCACAAATTAACAACCTAATGTCATATCTCAACAAACTCATTATAAAAGAAAAACAAACCAAAATCAAAGCCAGCAGAAGACATGAAATAACAAAGCTCAGAGCAGAACTAAATGAAATGGAAACCAAAACAAACAAACAAACGAATACAAAGCAGCAATGAAACAAAAGTTGGTTCTTTGAAAAGATAAACAAAATTGATAGGCCACTAACCAGATTAACCAAAAATAGAAGAGAAAGAACTCAAATAATCTCAATCAGATATGAAAAAGAAGACATTTCAACTGATACCACAGAAATAAAAAATATCCTCCATGAATACCATGAAAACCTCTATGCAAACAAACTAGAAAACCCAGAGGTAATGGATAAATTTTGGTAACACACAACCTCCCAAACCTGAATCAGGAAGAAACAGAAACCCTGAATGGACCGATAATGAGCAGCGGGATTGAAGGAGTAATAATAATCTCCTGACAAAAAAAAAATAAAAACCCTGGACCAGGTAGATTCACAGCTGAATTCTACCAGACCTATGAAGAGAAACTCCCACCTATGCTACAAAACTATTCGATAATATTGAAAAGGAAGGAATCCTTCCTAACTCATTCTATGAATCCAGTCTCATCTTGATACCAAAGGTGGGAAAGAACACAACAAAAAATGAAAACTACAGACCAATATCCATTATGAACATAGATGCAAAAATCCTCAACAAAATACTAGCAAACCGAATTCAGCAGCACATAAAAAATAAAATACTCCACCACAATCAAATGGGTTTCATCCCAGGGATGCAAGCATGTTTTAACATATGCAAATCATTAAATGATTCTACCACATAAACAGAAGCAAAAACAAAGACCATATGATTATCTCAATAGATGCAGAAAAAGAATTCAGCATAATCCAGCACTCTTGTATGATAAAAACCCTTAACAAACTAGGCATAGAAGAAATATACCTAAGAATTATAAAAGCCATATATGACAAACCTATTGCCAAGATCATCCTGAATGGGGAAAAGAACTGGAACAAGACAAAGATGTCACCGCTTTTATTTAGCATAGTGCTGGAAGTCCTAGCTGGAGCAATCATGCAAGAGAGAAAAATGAAGGGCATCCAAATTGGGAAGCAAGAGGTCAAACTACCCCTATTTGCTGATGATATGATCTTATATCTGGTTCCACAAAAAGACTCCTAGAATTGACAAATAAATTTATCAAATTCTCAGGTTACAAAATCAATGTACACAAATCAATAGCAGTTCTATATACTAATAATAGTCAAGCAGAAAGTCAAATCAAGGACTCAATACCATTCATAATAGCTACAAAGAAAATAAAATACCTAATAGTATACTTAACAAGGAGGTTAAGGACTTCTACGATGAGAACTACAAAACACTGATGAAAGAAATTACAGATCACACAAACAAATGGATAGCATATCATGCTCCTGGATGGGTAGAATGAACATTGTTAAAGTATCCATACTGTCCTAAGTGATTTACAGATTCAACAAAATCCCTATCAAAATACTGGTATCATCTTTCATAGATCTAGAAAAAATAATCCCAAGCATCATTTGGAACCAAAAAAGAGCCTGAATAGCTAACACAATCTTAAGTAAAAAGAAAAAATGTGGAGGCATTATATTACCTGACTTTAAATTATACTACAAGGCTATAGTAATCCAAATAGCATGGTACTGTTACAAAAGTAGAGACATAAATCAATGGAACAGAATAGAGAACACAGAAATAAAATCATCTACCTACAACTAACTGATCTTCAACAAAGTAGACAGCAACATACAATGGGGAAAGGCAGCCATATTCGATAAATGGTGCTGCCAAAATTGGATAGCCACATGCAGAAGAATGAAACAGGATCCCTATCTCTTGCCATATACAAAACTTAATTCGAGATGGATTAAAGACTTAAATGTAAGAAATAAAACCATAAAAATTCTAGAAGAAAATGTAGGAAAAACTCTTTTGGACATCAGCCTAAGCAAAGAATCTATGATTAAGACCCCAAAGTGACTGTAGCAATAGCAAAAATAAATAAATGGACTTATTTAATTAAAAAGCTTCTGCACAGCAAAGGAAATAATCAACAGAGCAAACAGACAACCTACGGAATGGGAGAAAATATTCACAAACTATGCATCTGACAACGGACTAATATCCAGAATCTACAAAGAACTCAAACAAATCAGCAAGAAAAAACAAAAAAAACACACAACAAAAAGCAGGCAAAATACCTGAACAGAATTTTTTCAAAAGAAGACAGACAAATGGACAAAAAACATATGAAAGAATGCTCGACATCATTACTCATCAGGGAAATGCAAATTAAAACTACAACACGATACCACATTACCCTTATCAGAATGTCTATTATTGAAAAGTCAAAAAACAATAGATGCTCGTGTGAATTCAAAGAGAAAGGAATACTTATACACTGTTGATTGGACTTCAAATTAGTGCGACCTGTACGGAAAACAGTATGGAGATTCGTCAAAGAAATATATATAGACTTACCATTCGATCCAGCAATTCCACTGCTGGGATCTGCCCAAGGAAATGAAGTCACTTTGTCAAAAAGACACCTACACGTGAATGTTTATTGCAGCACAATTCACAATTGCAAAGATTTGGAATCAACCTAAGTGCTCTTCAATTCATGAATGGTTAAAGAAAATGTGATATATATACATACCACAGAGTACTACTCAGTCAGAAAAAGGAATGAAATGTCATTTTCAGTAACATGAATGGAACTGGAGACAATTATCCTAAGTGAAGTGTCTCAGGAATGGAAAATCAAACACCAAACATCCTCACTCATGAGTGGGAGCTAATAGATGGGTACACATAGGCACAAAGTGATATAAAGGGCATAAGAAACAAGAAATGTGGAGGGCAAGAGGGTAGGTAGCCATACCTACCATGGCTAAAAACTCTCCTGATCCACAAAAAGAGCTGAAACCTCATTCCTGAAAAGGAAAAGGCAGAGTTTGAGCCCTCTGAGATTTAGAAACTCTTCCACCTTAGGAAAAGAACGGTTTCCACAATGGGAGCAAGTGAAGGGGAAAAGAGCTGGGCAACCATTTACTGGCATAAATACAATGAACCCCAACAGATGGCCTTAAGAAGTCTGTCAATGGTGATTGGCGTGCGAGGCACATGCAGTTTTCTTCCCTTCCCAACTTTGTAAATATGTCCCTGTTTCTGAGGATTTAGAACAAATAGAAGGTACAGCAAGACGAATTTGAATTAAAATTTAGCAGAATTTTCTAACTAAACTGCCTCTAGTAATGTACTCTCAAACCATGAGCCAGCATATTTCTGGGTAGTGAATTTGCAGAGAAATTCTAGGAAAAGATGGCATTTCAGGATCAGATAAGATTTCAATTGTCTTTTAAAGCTGAGAAGCAGATTCTGTGATTTAAAAATCAAAGGGGGAATACATACTTTGTAAGAAAAAGAGGAGGCGAAACAGCTGATAATCACATCATAGCCTTGTGCTAAACTTTTCACGATGCCTGACAAAGTGACTGTTATAGATGTTAGTACTATAGATGTTAGTAAATACTTGTTGAATAGAATTAAATAAAATAAAACTAAGATGTATTTACTATAGTAGATGAAGTAGTATCCTAGACAACAACTAGCTTGTCTGTATTTTTGAGATCAAAGATGGTTAAGTGTCAAATAATCAGGAGACCATAGGGGCCCCTGAATTGGCAAAGTTGGAGATGAGGAGGAGGGGACTTTGGGAAATGGAAATACCATGGTTTTAGGGTGACTTTTGTGTTTCCAACAGGAAATGATCCTGTGGATGAGTGAAGATGGTTCATACCTGCAAGAGAGAATAATGGTGATCATCACCAAGGTGTTACATTTTGCATCCAGAGAAGTCAGGGGAAATGTAAGTCACGGAGTGCAATTGTGCCACCTTATTCTGAAGACTGCATTTCCATAGCGCTGCTTTCCATGTCTGGGGTCTTGAGAGCCCTAAATGCCCGCTTGGTATTACTGTGCTGGTAGGTTGGGATATCAGGAAAGGAGTCAATATCCTACATGACTTTGTGTTAATCGGAGCAGAGTTTCTCAAACAATTGATTAAGATGTATTATGTTTACACAAACAGTATGAGTGTGTCAAAACCAGGTTCTTGCTGACTCTCTGGATTCTCCTCTATGAACCACGATCAACATTATTTGTAACTTTATAAATTCTTCCATCCTCATCTTCCTTCTTATTTTTTCTAAACTATTTTAAAAATCTTATTTATTTTAAATTTATGTAACTTTCAAGTACTTGCATTGTAAAACATGCTAAAGATAGAGTATAAGCCTTCCTCTACTATCCTCTCCACGCCCACCCCATCCTTAGCCATGCCAGTATGATGTATGTCCTGCCAAACCAGTTTCTAGGCACACACCCACATGTCTATGCACACACTCACAGATCCATGCACACACTGAGATACATAGCTTTATCATTTAGTGTTCTTTACTACAGTTACATCGTTTTTACAGATAGTTCTGCAATTTGCTTTTTTCACTGAACAATATGTTCTACAGATACTTTCCTGTCAATATATGGAGATTTATTTCACTCTTTCAAGCACAGTGTCTATCGCATAGTTTTGATGTATTAACTGCTTAGCTATTTTTCGGTTGATGGACATTGAAGTACATTTTAATTTTTTCTACTTCAAACAATACAAAATGGTCATCTTTGTGCAAGTATGTGAGTATATACACTTAGAAATGCTTAGAAAAATAATTGCCAGATCAAAAAGTATGATAGGTTTAAGTTTAGTAATGCAGAATTGTCCTCCAATTTGCATTCTTGTGACTATTATAGTATCCAATTCCCCACACTTTCGCAAACATTGGGATACTATACAATATTTTAATTTTTCCCGTCAGGTGGCAAAGAAACAACTGTCTCATAATTGCCAATATTTACTGAGGTTGTCTGTACTTTGAATGACTTCATGGCTAGCCTTCCCAGAAACCTCAAACTGTCTATGAGCATTTTTCTCTTGTGGATACTGTCTATTCAGTCTCTCTTTCCCAACTCGTCCTTCACAGTGATTATTAAACATACTCTACTAATTGCTCATCTGATTGCTTTAGTCATTTCTGAAGGAGACATGAGTGAAAGGGGTGGGAGACATGCGTTCACAGTACCATCTTCAGGTATCCATTTTCTACTACCTGTACGAACAGTCCCCAGACACGTTGAGACAAAAAATCCACATCAGCCTTATAACGTATCTGAATTTTTATGATTTTGCTTAAAATCATCTTTGTAACATATTGTAATTTACTTACATGGGGAAATACAGTCCATGGTGTTCTTTGCATCACATTGATCCCATATTTCAATCCAAAAGAGAGACTGAGTGGCTTGTTTAATCTTCTGATTCTCTGATCTGGGAAGGCAGTCTCTTTGTACTTCTAAAATATCTTTTATTGTTCATTCACATGTCCAGAAGTTTCACCATAGAAAATTTGGCAAGCAAGACTTGAGACTCAGTACAGTTCACCACTCAAGGCTGTTTCCTGCACGGTTCCCAACACATGTTATGCACTCAGCAAGTATTTGATGCCAACTGTTTGACTAGGGCCTATTCACATGCTTCCCTCTGCATTTTAATGCATATATATTATACTACATATATGTGTGTGTGTATGTGTGTGTGTGTATATATATATTATATACATATATTCTAGCGACTGCCTCTCAAGTAGCAGATAAGACATTTTGGAATTTCATCTTCTATTACCTCTTCCTCTTCGCTCTTTCCATTACTGTAGTAAAATTCATCCTCTTAAACTGTGAATAAACTTTACGGTAGTAAAGTTCATTCCACCCTTCAACTGGGAAAGAATAAATGTGTAAATTCACATATGTAGCAGAAGGCTCCCATAAATTATTCAGTTGAGGGTTGCTAGCTATAACAGATTTGTTTGGGTAACCAGTCTGTTCTGCAATGCTCACTGAATGCCACCAGGGGGAAGTACACCAGCATTTTCCAGAACATTGAAACTAAAAGCTGGAATCAACCAGCTCGTAACAGTCACGGAAGCATAAAACTACACTAAGTTAGCCTTCTCTTTAAAATAATGTCTTCTAAAGATGTTTAAGTCGGTGAAATTAATGGGGAGAGAGACAAATATATAAAATAAAAGAATTGAAAATATTATTAACAAGTTAAAAGCTGAGATTCCTACAGGCCTAGTCTGTGTATCTCCCTATTTGACACATTATAAACAATGGCTATTTGTTCTGCCCTTTACTAACTAAGTGTAACTACCTATTTTGTTCTCCTGTGCTTTTCATACATTGGATAGACTTTATTCTTCATAATCATGCTTACCTAGGTCTTCCAGAGTGTCAGAGACCCTCGTCCTATTGAACAATCTTGACTATCATTTGTGTTCTGTCAGAAACATTTTTTAAAGTGATAATTCCCCTCCCATGACCCATGTTCTCATTGGGGTAGAGAAACTCCTACACTCAAAGAATGTCCGTTCCTTCGATTAAACTATTTAATTTTCAATAGGCAAAGAAATGTGAGCTAAACATGTCATAGCATGAACAGGAAAAGATACTTCCTAGCTTCGATCCTTTGGCACATCAGCATTTAAAGATGGACGAAGGAGTTCCAGCTAAAGCTAACAAATTGTCCACATGTATTTATCTCCTCTCCTTCCAGAGTCCTCACAAAATGATAGCAAAAAAAATTTGTCAGAGGTATTAAATCCACAGCAACAAAGAGAATTAGTGAAGGGTTTTCAATGGGCTGGAGATGTGGATAAACTTCTAGAAGACACAATAGACCGAAGATGGTAACTGATAAAGCCTAGCCGGGGATCTGAATGACATGACCATGACCATTAGGCTGGGGGACAGCTGAAAAGGGAGGCAGTTTGCCCTGGGGAGCTCTAGAGACAGTGGAGCTTGGAAAGCCCGTTAATGATGAAGAGTGGGAGTCAAAGGAGGGCTGAAACATATGCATTGATTAAATGGATTCATCGCAAGCATATACAGAAGAATCTGCGTTGCCTCCCATTTCCCTTGAACACACATTGGCAGACAAAAGTTGAGGACTTTCTTCTTTCAAAACCATCGCTAAATTCCCTGAGAAAAGAATCTTGCCTTCTGTTTAGATACACTTCAGCATGACCCCAGCCTCCCCTCTAGCCAATCTAGCATACCAGGTGACAAGCCTCGCTGACACACAAAACCCCATCAAGAAGCATTACATTCTTAAATATGAAGCGATAACCACAATTTGTCACATTTGGGAAATATCTCCAAGTAAAAGAGACAGAAAAAGTTAGATAAAGAGAAAAAAAATCACTAGCAAAAATAGATAATTCAGGGTACAGATGAGAACTTATTCTCAAAAAGAGTAGAGAAGACATGTACATGGCCAGAGGAAATACAATCAAAATGAGCATGCCCATGCATTAAACGATTTTACTTATTCACAATGACATCATATTATTGATTTTCAGCCTTCAGGATTAATCTATAGGCCAAGCAATTAAAGCCATAAATGAGTTACTGAATACAATGTAAATGCTATGAACTCAATAATGCAAAAATAAAAGTACAGAGAAGAGTTTAGTGGTTCTTCAACAAGTTAAATATAGAATTATCATATAGCCCAGCAATCGTAGTTATATATACTCAAAAGAATTTAAAACAGGTGTTCAAACAAAAACTTGTACACGTTTTCAGGACAGACTTAAGATAGAAAAAAAAAATTTTACACAAGTGTTCATTGCAGCAAAATTTACAGTAGCCAAAGAGTGGAAACAACCCAGATGTCCATCAACAGATGAATGAATAAACAAAATGTGGTATATACATACAATGTCATATTAGCCAAAAAAGGAATGAAGTCTGATATATGCTATAACATGGATAAACCTTAAAAACATTATACTAAGTGAAAGAAGCCAGACACAAAAAGCTGCATATTATGTGATTCCATTTATGTGAAATGACAGAATAGGAAAATCCTTAGAGGCAAAAAGCAGATTTGTGGTTGCCAGAGGCTGAAAGTAGGGAGGGTGAGGTGGTCTGAGTGACTGTTTCACAGGCAGAGGGTTTCTTCTTAAGGTGGTGGAAAAATTCAGAAACTAGATGGTGATGATACTTATATAAAATTATATACTTTATAATATACACTGAATTATATACTTTAAAATAATTTAAATGGTACATTTTATGTTATATACAAATTTTATCATAATAAAAAATGCAAAAACAGAGTACAGGTAATAGTTGTAGAAAAGTAGACATGACAGAGGGAAGTTGGAGAGAAATAAGAGTTCTCCAGACTACTTACCTTATTAAGTGGAAGACCAACAAGATATCTTTGTTTTAGGAAACAAGAAATAAAAATATTGTGGTAGTATTGAAACACAAAAGTAGAAGAATTCAAAATAGTATCATACTACAATGAGCAATTTACTCTATTGAGAGAATTGTGGCAAAGTGGAAAGAGAGAATTGAGTTCTAAACCCTAATTTATCGTAGCAGGAATACATAGGCAATGTTCCAAACTGATGTTAGAAACAGAACAGGAGGTGCATTGTTTAGAGAGATATAGAGGTGACTTACAGAAGAAGCACCTAAAAATCCCAGAAGTGGTTGCCTCTGGAATCCAGCACTTAAACCTATCTTTATTGTTAAGATAGGGAACTGGAGAGCTCGTATCGACAAAGAGGAAGGGATCCGGGAGGGAAGAACCAGAACACGAAGCAGGAGTACTTAAACTTGAGAATGAATACTGGAAAGCTACTTTTCTCCAGGTCTTAACTCTTCACTTTTTTGTAGCACTTGGATAGATTTTCTATAAAAGCAGGATATATCATACTGAAAGTTTTCAGTCTGGTGTTTGAGGAGATGTGCCTGTGTCTGGACACACTTCCAAAGGGACAGTGCAGGGTGTAATTGGTGTGCTCCACGATCCACACTGCTTACTCCTCTCTGGGCCTGTCTTAGGTCATGCCCCACTCCCCAAACATGCCTTCTTAGTTGGTGGAAGTAAGTGGAATGCAATCTAGACATGGCCACATCTACTCTGCTAGAGACATATACCTAGATAGATCTTGTCTGGCAAAGAGAATAGAAGGAAACCACTAGTAGCTTAATTTACAAAAACACCTGCTAAGAATTATATATCCACAAATTCATGAGAGGGGATAATCAGAGAGGAAATTTGAGACAAAAACTGCAATACAATAAGACCTTAGGGCCCATCCCCTGTATGTGGTCTGCTTCAGTGAGCTAAGCTCTGAGAAGTACTCCTCCTCTATCATGCCTAATAGAGACAGAGAACTCCTCACCCTTTTTATTTAGGCCCATACACAAGGGTGGTTTTTAAAATCTTGCCATCAGATAGAAAAAAAGAAACCTGGAATGCAAATCCAAAGAAAAGGATATCCAGGGAAAGAGATAATTTTTCCCTAGGTCCTAAAGTAGAGTCAGCTACTACCATCTACCTCTAAATTCTCCTAAGTCATAGGCCTCTACAAGGGGAAGTCCCCCGCCAGTCTTACAAAGAAGTATGGGTGGAAAAAAATCCAAGGAGAATATCCATAGAAGAACGAGATTTACAATCTTCCCTTCTCCTACTGAGACCATCACTTCCAACATCCCAATTCAGTTACGGCCTTACCCTATGACCTAGGTCACATCAGAGTTCTTACTTAGAAATTACTATATGTGTATGTGTGTGTGTGTGTGTGTGTGTGTGTGTGTGTGTGTGTGTGTGAGAGAGAGAGAGAGAGAGACAGAGAGAGAGAGAAAGAGAGAAGTATGAGTGAGTGAAGCCACATGAAGGGCATAGAAAGAAGCAGATGCAGGCCGTGGGATCCGCCACTTAAAATCTAACTTTACCACCAGCACTTGCTCCAATCATCAAAGCTAATATCTAGGAAAAGTAATCATTTGTCTTAGAGATAAGAACACCCTGAAGATCATGCCACCTGCTTGCCAAACCTCCATGTGGGCAGAGCCCTTCTTTGTTTAAAAAAAAGGCACACAAAATTGGTAAATGGTGCTCATATCTTCATAAAAGCAAATGTCTCTTACACCTCTCCTCTCTTCTTTTACGTCTCTACTCCCTTCTCTATTTGGATTTGACTTAGCTAAATGGTTGGTCAAAGATGAAAACCTAAATATTCGAGCAGCCTATATTTCAAAGAAGTTGTAAGGGGAAATTGACATCAGAAGCAAACTCTCTGAATTTAAAAAAAATTGAATTTCCCTGAGCAATTCCAGGAAAGAAAGTCACACTTCTCCCAGTGACTTACAGAGACATATGAAATGTTTCATATTTGAAGAAGGAACCATTAACAATTTTGGAAATCCATGTCTCATCCTCCTTCCCTATATCCTGGCAATTTGCTACCTGCAAATTTCTACCTGCTTTATGGAATAGGAACTAATATTAGGGAGTTACTATTCTAAGTAGTTTGCTGGAAACTTAACTTTTTGTAGTAAATGTTACCCCCTTACCGCCTTCACAATAACAGTTACACAGTGTCATTTATTATATTCACTTCGCAGATGAGGAAATTGAGACTCAGTAACAGAGCCAGGATTTAAATACAAATTTTATAAACTCTGAAGTTCATCCTCTAATCCTAGTCTGATATATAATAGGATCAGATGCAGACATTGAATGTTTACTATGCACAGCAAATGCATTTTTCCTTTGTTTCTCCATTAGACAAGTGTTGATGCTCCCTGTTTGGGTGCCCTGGCAGCAGAGCTGTGTCTTTTGTGTTCCCATGCTGATTCCTCAATCACAGAACAAGCATCATTTGGACTGCATTACCTCCTCCACATTGCAAAGTGTCAGACTGGTAAGAATGATTCGCCATCTTTTCTAAGGGTTACTAAGAATCTGTACCTAATTATTCTACTTATGGGTCCCAAGAAAACTCTATGTCTGTGAATTTCTAAATCTTTACCCAAGATCTGTAGCTCCACTTTCTAAAACGTGTTTCTTTTAACGTTTTTACCGTTTTCAAAAAATTCTAATAATAGTTGGTTCTTCAAGATTTATAAAGTAATATGCTTAGATTAGTGTCGGGTGTTAATGATGGGCAGAGGAATGCAGGGAGAAAGGGGAATGAGAGGGGTTACCAATGGGATTTAAAAAATGAGGTATATTTTTTCCTCTAACGAGGCATCCAATAGAATACCCAGAAGATTATTGATTTAATGGTGGAGAAAAATCAGTCCAAGACTAAAATGAATGCTGCTATGGCTTGCCTAACAAAGTGTAAAAACAATATCTGAAACTATTTACAAGTAACTTTCCTGCATCTCAGAATAAAGGTTAAAAACACTTATAGTATATATCTGCTTTTGTCCAACATATAGTAACAGAGAACAGATTTACTCTATTTACTCTTTCAGGAAGCAAGCTTAAGATATACATTTGGTTCTCAGTTCACTGGAATCAAATAATAGAGGACCATGATTCTTGAGAGATGGGAAGAATGAGGTGGGGTCTGTAATCGCCTGAGCTTACCATCTAGAATAAGTTTCTAAGATCTAGCACAAAAAAAGATAACCCAATGGTCTCGCCAAGTTGAAGAGACAGAATTGGGAGTCCAGGGAGATTAAGACGGCTAGAGTTCAAAGGGCAGAGTACCAAATATGAGTGTGCACACACACACGTACACAAAACAGTCCAAAAATCTACAGAGACCTATGGAGAGCTCCTTTAAGTATTTAGCAGAGTACCAATGAGAACATGCTTGTTAGGAAACTGCCTGAGGCTAAGGATTGGGGAACAATAAAAAATGATTATAGAAAAAAAAAACCCAGTGAGCTCATAAAGGCTAGTAATAGTGCCTATGCCTCTGAGTCAGAATTCAAAAACTTCATATAATGCACAAGTAATGGGGTAGAGAACTCAGAGAAATTTTGTCTCATTAGGAGAAAAAAACTAGTCTAAACTGTTTTAGTACCATTTAACAAGGTTTAAAACAAGATATAAAAGGATCATTCCTCCAAATAGTATAATTGCTCACCAGAACAAAGCTGAAGACTACTTCCAGGAATACAAAAGTTGCAGCACTCAACAAGGTAAAATTAACAATGTCTGATATCTAATAAAAAATACCAAGCATGCAAAAAATCAGGAAAATACAACCTAGAATGAGGATAAAAACCAATCAAAACTGATCCAGAAATGGCACAGATGATAGAATTAGTAGAGGGGGTTGTTAAAACAATTGTAACAACTATATTCCATTTATTTAAGGAGTTAATCGAAAAGATGAGCATGTGAAATAGAGACATAGAAAAACTTCTAAAAGACCCGTATTGAACCTCTAAAGATAAAAGCTATAATATCTAAGAAGAAAAACTCTCTGGCAGGGATTAACGGCAATTAGACATTGCAGGAAAAAAAGGTTAGTGAGCCTGCAGACTTAGTAATGGTAATTATCAAAAATTAAACAGAGAAATAAAAGAGTGAAACAAACAAATAGAGCATCAGTGAGCTGTGAAACAATCTGTCAGCCTAATATATGTCTCATTTGAGTGCCTAAAGGTGAGAAAGTGAAGAAAGAAAAAAATATTTGAAGAATAATGGATGAAAATTTTTCAAATTTCATAAAAGCTAAAACTAATAGACCCCAAAGCTCAGAAAGTGCAAGAAATGTGAAGAAAACATCAAGGCACTACGTAATTAAATTGCTTACAACTACTGATAAAGAGAAAATCTGAAAAAGGAGCCAAATTTAAAAAACCACATGATATACAGAGGAAGAGAGGCAAGGATTACAGCAGATTTCTCATCAGAAATGATGCAAGCCGTAGGCAATGAAGCAACATCATAAAGAAAAAAGAACTGTCAATCTGGAATTATTTAGCCAGAAAAAATGTATTTTGAAATGTAGATATATAGATACATAAGAGCTGATAGAATGTATTACCAGCAGATCTACAGTACAAAAAATGTTAAAGGAAATCCTTCAAGAAAAAAAAAATGATACCAGATGAAAATCTAGATCCTACATAAAGGAATGAAGAGGACTGGAAATTGCAACTATGTAGATAAATATTAAATTTTGCTTTCTTATTTAAGTCTTTGTAGATGATAATCAGTAGTTTAAAGCAAAATATAACAACAATAGAAAAGGAAAACGTGTGACAACAATGGCACAAAGGCTTAAAGGAGATAAACGTGCAAATACTGTTTTAAGGATCTTCTACTAGGCACGAAGTTATAAACTACCGCAGAAAAGTAAACTGTAATACGTTAAAAGATATATCATCTACACCCTAACACAACCACTAAGATATTAATAATATAGCAAAGACTTATATAAAATAAGCCAAAATGGTGATAAAATGAAACAATAAAAAATATTTAATTCAAAAGAAGGCAAAAAAGAGGAAAAACAGAAAGAATAGATGCGGAAAATAGAAAACAAATAAGAAAAGACTTAACCCAATCACAATAAATAAATGTTGCAAATAAAATAAAAAGGCAGAGATTGTCAGACTGAATAAAAAGCAAAACTGAACTATACACTACCTATAAGAATCTCACTTTAAATATATAAACAGAGTTTTTACAAGATTTTCTTCTAGCATTCTTATGGTTTCCTGCCTTACATTTAAGTCTTTAATCCATCTTGAATTAATTTTTGTGAGTGATGAGAGATATGGATCCTGTTTCACTCTTTTGCATGTGGATACCCAGTTCTCCCAGCACCATTTAGTGAATAGGGCTTCTTTTATCAAGTGTACATTGCTTTCTGCTTTGTTGAAGATCAGTTGGCTGTATGTGGATGGTTTTCTATCTGGGTTCCCTGTTTTGTTCCATCAATCCATGGCTCTATTTTTGTGCCCATGCCACATTGTTTTGGTTACTATAGCCCACTATTTATAGTATAGTTTGAAGTCTGGTAATGTGATGCCTCCAGATTTGTTCTTTTTGCTTAAGGTTGCTTTGGCTATTCAGGCACTTTTCTAATGAAGCGTAGAATTATTTTTTCTAGATCTGCGAAATATGATGTCGGATTTTGATGGGGATTGAATTGAATCTGTAATCACTTTGGGTAGCATGGACATTTTAACAATGTTGATATTACTGATCCATGAGCATGATATTATTCCATTTGTGTCATCTGTGATTTCTTTCTTCAGGGTTTCACTGTTCTCTTTGTAGAGATATTTCACCTCCTTGGTTAAGTATATTCCTGGGTATTTTTTTTTCTTTGTGGCTATTGCGAATGGTATTGAGTCTTTGATGTGACTCTCAGCTTGATTGTTATTGGTATATAGTAATGTCACTGATTGATGTACATTGATTTTGTACCCTGAGACTTTGCTGAATTTATTTATTAATTCCAGAAGTCTCTTGATAGAGTCTTTGGGGTTTTCTAAATATAAGATCATATCATCAGCAAAAAGTGATAGTTTGACCTCCTCTTTCCCGATTTGGATACCCTTAATTTCTTTCTCTTGCCTGATTGCTCTGGCTAGGACTTCCAGCACTATGTTGAATAGAAGTGGTGACAGTGGGCACCCTTGTCTTGTTCCAGTTCTAAGTGGGAATGCTTTCAACTTTTCCCCATTCAATAGGATATTGGTTGTGGGTTTGTCATGTATGCCTTTTATACTTTTGAAATATGTTTCTTCTATGCCTAGTTTGTTGAGGGTTTTTATCATGAAAGGGTGCTAAATTTTGTCAAATACTTTATCTGCATATATTGAAATGATCATATGGTCTTTCTTTTTGCTTCTGTTTAATGTGGTGAATCACATTTATTGACTTCCATATGTTGAACCATCCTTGGATTCCTAGGATGAAACCCACTTGATCATGGTGAATTATTTTTTTGATGTGCTCTTGAATTTGGTTTGCTAGTATTTTTTGTGGATTTCTGAATCTATATTCATAAGAAATATTGGTCTGTAGTTTTCTTTTTTAATGTGTTCTTTCTGGGCTTTGGTATCAAGGTGATACTGGCTTCATAGAATGAGTTGGGGAGGATTCCCTCCTTCTGGATGTTATGGGATAATTTCTACAGTATTGGTACCAGCTCTTCTTTGTAGGTCTGATAAAATTTGGCTATGAATCCATGTGGTCCAGTGCTTTTTTTGTTGGAAGATTTCATAACACTCATATTAGTAATAGCCAAAAACTGGAAATAACCCAAATATCCATCAGTAGGTGAATGAATAAAGAGATTGTGGCATATACATGAAATAGAATAGTACTCATAAGTGAAAGATAATGAACTATTGATACGTACAACAACATGGATGAATCTCAATAGTTTTGCCAAACAAAAAAAATAGTACATACTATATGACTTCACTTATATAAAATTAGAAAATATGAAGTTAACAAAAAGCAGATTAGTGGCTGCCTTAGAATCAAGGGCCAGGTACAGGGAGTAGGTGTGAGGGGTTACAAAAGGACATGAGGGAACTTTTGGAGGCAATGAGTATGTTCATTTTTTTATTTTACTGTGGTATGTTTTCATGGGTATGTACATATAAAAAACTTACCAAGTTATAAATTTGAAATGTGTTATATGCCAAGTATATCTACACAAATGTATTGAAAAACAAACAAAATCATTTAAAACCCACTTTGTCTGGAACTAAAGACATCTGTACCTGAAGCTTTTACTGAGAGCTTCTGACTTTCCTGGTATGCTATTCCTCAGCTCTTTTCAAAATGCCTTCAAATCTGCGATCTCACCAATAGACCTTCCAGCTTAGCATTAGCTTCTCCAGTGCACTGAACAATGCATTTGATGGTCTAAATATAATTGTTATCTAGTCAATCTATTAAAATTATTTATGTCCTTCATTCGTATTTCACATGACCTCTCCTAAACACTTTATAAATTCTGGGTCAGTGCCATCATAATATTTTATGTGACTAAACTGTGAGCATAGAGTTAAATATTCAGAAAACTTCACATCTCCAGAATTGGGCAGGAAAAGGAAATTGGAAATATAATAGCAATGTCATAGAAGAAACCAATGATTAAATAAAAACCTTAAACTATTTTTCTTAATACAGAGGATATTGAACAAAGTAAATCTCCAAGCCATGAACATAACTGCTTCCCACCTTCTTCTGATGTAGCATTTCTATCTAAGAGCTTTCAAGACAAAAGTAAGATTTCTCAGGTAACTTAGCCCCCACTTTATCCTATGGCTTTTGTTTTGAATGTATTATTACTCTTAGTGGCAACTTATTTCAACACAGTTTGTATTTTTAATAAGTATTTTTCCATTTTTTTAAACTCAGTGAAGCAAAGGGTAGTCATACATAGAGCATTTGGTTTCCTGATTTTCATCTC